GCCGCCGGGGGCGAGTGCAAGAGGAGGCGCACGGAGCCCCCCCACGCCGTGCCCGCGGCGCGCTGGTGCCCTGAGCGCGTGGCGCTGCAGTACATCGTGCCCTGCATGAAGTACTACGGCCTGTGCGTGAAGGACGCCTTCCTGGGCGCCGAGCTGGGCGCCAAGGTGCTGCGGGAGGTGGAGACGCTGGACCAGAGCGGCAAGTTCCGGGACGGGCAGCTGGTGAGCCAGCGCAGCCTCCCGCCCCGCAGCATTCGGGGAGACCGGATCGCCTGGGTGGAGGGCCGCGAGCCGGGCTGCCAGCACATCGGCGCCCTGATGGCGCACATCGACGAGGTGGTGATGTACAGCTCGCTCAACGGCCGGCTGGGGGACTGCGTCATCAACGGCAGGACCAAGGTGAGCGAGCCCCTGTCCCCCTCTGTCCGCGGGAGGCCTCGCTCAGGGGACGTCTGGCTCGGCCCCCTGCTCCGGTTGTGGGGGGGGTCTGTCTGCTCAGGGGTCGTCCCGGTGGAGCTGCAGCTCCTGTCTGCCCGTAGCATCAGTGTGATGGGTTTCCTCGGCCGCCTGGTCGCTCCGGGGGTGCGTCCTGCGGACACCCCGACTGTGGCCGCGGGCGGGTCGGTTAGTGAGGGGCTGGGTTAGAACAGAAACCCTGGCGCAGTGGACAGAGACAACCAGCGCTCGCTGTTGGAGTGCAGCAGGGTCAGGGTGCGAGCTGGTGCAGACTGAGAGACAACCCAGCTAGAGATTTTCTCCTCTCCAGTACAGCAGGGCGGCGCTGTCTTGTGTCCCTGTCCTGGTGCCGACAGCCCAGACCCGGGCTCCGGGTGAGAATCCGGCTCGCTGGTGTCGTGAGGGCGCCAGCTGGCTGTGAGCAGCGCAGACAGGGATTTCCCAGCATGCTGGAGAGCTGGACTGCCTCACTGTGGTTGTCCTTGTGATGAGAGCGTGTCGAAGCAGACGCGTTGCTGACGTCTGTTGACGATGGTGAAGGAGAGGGCTGTTCCTGAAGTCCGGAAGTCGTCCCACACGAGCGCTGCTGTTCCTTCTGGCCCAGAGCTTCGTGGTACGAGGCCGAGATCCCAGAGCACGAGTCCAAGGAGTGAGGCAGTGTGAGGCAGGCTTAGGGAGGCGAGGAAGACCAACACAGACCCCATTACTACAGTTAACAGTACAGCTCGCAGTGTAGGCAGAGGACAGCTAACAGCACATTTCCAGGTGTCATCTTAAGTTTTCACATGCTCGCAGTTCTCCCAGTCTCCCTGGCACAGGTAGTTGCTGTAGGAAGAACCAGAGGGTTTTTTCCTGCGGAGAAGTTCAACAGAGTCCAGAGAGTCCGGTCCCTGGTGTGGAAGTGGTTCTGATGGAGCAGGAGTGTGTCTGTACATGTGCACAGAGTACGAAAACAAGTGCCTGAGTCTGACCTCTGGCCTGTAGCCTGCCAGCATGTGAAGGCTGAGGAGGGTCACGTCACTGTGCACAGGGAGTCTCAGTCGATGGGACAACAAGGAGGCACTGGGACAGTGTAGGCAGGGGTGTGATCCAAAGAACAGCCTTCGTCGAGAGGAGCCATTCGACCCATGTTCAACCTGGTAGTTTGTAGCTCTCTCATCCCAAGATCTCATTCAGCGTTTCCTTAAAAGAAGCCAGGGTATTGGCTTCAATGACATCACCGTCGATCCATTCTCCCACCACCCTTCGTGTAAGGAAGTGCTGCCTGTTTCCAATTTTAGATGCTCTTCCACGCTGGTTCACATTCCCGAATTGCCAGTGCAGTTCTCTTCCGTGAGGGAAATCTTCGCCAGGTTCCGTTCCTTGCAGGCACGGGCGTGTGAGGGCAGCCAGCGAGTCCGGTGGCGGTGGGATATCAGAATTCGCCGTTTCCCCTGAGGGAAGGGAAAGAGACATGCCGCCCTGGGGTGGCTGGGGTGCTCAGCTGTCGTGTGGGGAGTCTGCCTCTTCTCTCTGAGAAGGAGCTGCATTGATGCAAAATGCATCTGGATCATTTTGAGCATAAAACTACCGCTGGGGACAAAACGCCAGGCACAGAAGAGAGCAGACCTCTGCATCTTGGTGCAGTAGCTCAGCCCTGTGTGATGTGACATAACAGCTAAGCAGCAGGGGGTATTTTAGGGTGGGGGTTAAACAGCTGCTCAGTTGATACTGACTCCGGGGGATCTCTGTGCTTATTGAGGGGATGTGAAAGCTGTGTGAGCTGACGGGAGCACATCTTGCGTGATGACAGGCAGGGTGGATCCGTCTCCCTCTCTGTGGCAGCAGGAGGGCCCATGGATTGAGTGATGCTGTTTTGCAACCTGAGGTCACGTGGCCCTGAGTCACTGACACATGCTGCGTTGTGAAGCTGTCGTCCAGCTCCCACCCACCCTGCCTGGGCGCGGAGGGAGGGCGAGAGGGCAAGCAGTGGGTGAAGAACTGTGAAATCTGTGGTGCTGCAGCCTTCTGAGCAATGCCTCAGTAATGGTCTTTTTGTTGTCTGTATCCTCTCTGACCATATCGCAGATCTGACCGCTGTGCTGAAGGTTCTGCTGGTGACCCAGGCCCGGGTTAACTGGGCCCAAGTCACTCCAGACTCTTCCACATCGGCTTTGATCTCGACTGAGCTCACGGGTGTCTTCCCCAAGCTCTCCTGACTGCCTGGAGAGTATCTGGGTTGAAAGGTGTGAGTGCAGGAAGAGACACAATGGGAGTGGAGAGAAGAGTCTCTGTCTCTTTGTGCTCCGAGCCCAGTGTAGGAGAAGCTGGATGAGACTGAGATCCTCCTTTTCTGCTCTTTCAGCACCTGAACTGCTGGGTGTTTGACAGGGAGTTTGAAATGAACAGCGCAGGTCACCTGAGCGTTAGCTCTGTAGTTTTCAGCTCTGTTCCCGGTTTGTGAACTGCAGTCTGGTCGATGGTTGCTGTGTGCCCTGGGGCACATGAGACGGCCCCCTCCCCTTCAGAGGCTCCTCAGGGCCTCCCTGCCCTGGTCCTGTGTCTGCTGGTCTCAAGCTGACCTCACTGGACTCACTAGTGTCCAGCTGATGCCTCGTATTTATCCAGGACCAAGTGAAGGTTAATTCCACACTGGAGGGGAAAGGACACGAAACGTTTCTTCTTCATGAGGTGAAGCTCAGAGCTCATTAATATGTTACTGCTGGTGGTGAAAGAGTACCAGGTGCCGTACAGCCCAGGTGTGGTCAAGGCGGTTTTGTAAAATTAGGTTTGGATCTTTTAGAAAACCAGCCCTACCCCCTGCGCACAGGCCTCGCTCTGCAGTCTGAAGGACGAAGGGAGAGGCTGCTGGGATACCCGGCCTGCAGGAGGAGGGGTGGTAGTGTTTGTGAGGTTGTGTTGCTGTTCATTTTCCGTGACTGTATAGAGTAGAGTACTTTATTGCTATATGTACAGGTACATTGGAATTCTTAATCATGCTGACGTCTCGGGGCACAGTACAACAGACAACACCACACAGTGTAGACAGTACATTACAAACATGGCTCCATGGCCGGAACATTGTGTTTTCTATCTTATCTTTTCAGCATGGAATAAACCAATTGTTCCTTTGCAGCCTACGCCTGCTGACGCAGCTCCCCGCCTGAACTATAATAACAACAGCTCGAGTTGTTCAGTTATTGAGTGTAGAGTTTGAATGTAGATATAGAGATGAGTATAGACAGTATTTACGTAATAAATAATGGTCTAGAAGTCCAGCTGTGCTGCCAGGCAGAGCAGGGCTTGCTGGCAGTGCGAGGGTTAAGGCCGAGCGTAGGGGCGCTGCTACATGCTGGCCCGAGATTCCTCAATGGAGAAGGGGCCCCTCCCACTGATGACGCAGCACTTTCAGCAATCTGGGGGCTGGAGCAGCATTTAAAGACACGCAGGCCCAGCGTGTCATGCAGCTGAGAACTCTGACCCCTTTTCCACCTTTAACACACTGTCTGCTTCTTCTGCTCGGGTGCCTGTTTCCCTGGAGGCCTGGAGAACCGTTGGTGACGGACTCCAGCATCAACTGCCCCCCCCTCCACCCCCACAAGGCCCTGAGGAGTAAACAGCAGCCTGCTGATTAAAGCAGAGGAAATGGCTGGAATTGAAAACGGGACAGATGACGCAGCCATGCCAGCCCCCCCGTTTCAACTGTGCTTTTTATAGGAACGGGGCGGGGAGGCGCGGGGGTGTTCCTGTCCGGAATGGACCTTCACCGCAGTCGCTCGGCACAGCCAGTCCCTTCCCTCTGGGATTCACACCATTCCTTGACGCGCTGAAGTTGCGCTAGGCGTACACTGAGTGCGTCTTGACCAGGTCGGCTGGGACGTGTCGTCCTGCAGCAGGACCGGCGGGCGGGTGGCAGGAATTGGGAGCCCGTGTCTCGGTCCCGGGATCCCTGCGTGCCGCTGGGTTGTCCAGCAGGAGGCGTATGTCTGACAGGCCCGTGTGCTGACAGATGTGCCCCCTGTAACTGCGGAGTCTGTGCCCTGCTTTTCCCGAGTTCTGTGTCAGTGCAGACTTTCACGCTGTCCCGGGCCGTGTGCTCATGGGGGCGCAGTGACACAGCTTTGGGGCTGGAGTGTCGCTGCCCTGTGGCGGGTGGGGTGGCAGGCGAGGAAAGGCCCCCTAGAGAAGTTCAGCACCCTCCCTTCTCAGGCCGTCTCAGCCTCTGCCCCCTAATTCAGCAGCGCCCTCTCGCTCTGCCCGCAGGCCATGGTGGCGTGTTACCCAGGCAATGGGACAGGGTACGTGCGCCACGTGGACAACCCCAACGGTGACGGCCGCTGCATCACCTGCATTTACTACCTGAACAAGGACTGGGACTGCAAGGTAAGGAGCCCCAGTCTGGGCCCCCGTGCGTCTCTCGCTGCCTGAGGGCCTCGGCCAGGGGCAGACGGCGTCCCATGCGCGCTCCACTGGGACTGCGAGTCACTGCACGAGGTCCAAGATGAGAGCGGCCCGGAAGTGGACAGATTTTGGGCTGGAAGTCTGGGGAGAGACAGCTTGAGTTGGCATTTTTGTGTGTGGGGTACAGTGTGTCCCCTAAAGTGGAGTTTATAGAGTGCTGGTGTGTGTTGTAGGAGTGCACAGAGTGGCTCAGGGGGGGTTGTGTCTTGCAGGTTCATGGGGGACTCCTCCAGGTCTTCCCAGAAGGCCGTTCAGTGGTGGCCAACATCGAGCCCATCTTTGACCGGCTCCTTATCTTCTGGTCGGACCGCAGGAACCCTCACGAGGTGAAGCCAGCGTACGCCACGCGGTGAGTATCCGCACCCTGACCCTGGCTGCTCGAGAGATCGCAGCACCGGAGTCAGTCCAGATACAGTCTAGGGCCTAATGGAATGTCTTACACCGCCATACCCAAGAACTTGATCTTTTTAGTCTTGAAACAGAGACAACTATGAGGGAACCAGATTACCAGAACATCCTGAAAGGCACCAACAAGGATCAACAGTGAAACCCAAACTGGAGAACATAAGCAGAATCCAAGGGAAAGTGGTTTTTAGACTGCAAACGGGAGGCACTTCTTTACATTAAGAGTTGTGGGAGCGTGAAACAATCCAGAGATAACAGATGCACAGAGATAACAGAAAGACGATGTGGTGGGATTGAACTGCTGTGCACCTGCACTGGGGTGCATGAGGTTCGTTCGGGTTTAAGAATGGCCTGTGTTGCTCTGTTGATAGTTTATTAGCAAAGTGAATCTTAACTTTCATACTGCTGCTTCTTGTAGCAGAGTTAGGGCTGTTCCAGTCGCCCCTACTGTTTGTGTAGGAATGTGTTTCCTGTATAAAAAGAATTCCCTCTTAGGACTCAGTTGTGACCTTGTCTTTGTTTATGAACATAAGAAAGGCTGGTGAGCTTCACCTCATTTGTAACCTGTCTAGCCTGTTTGTTAATTAGTAGCTGTTAATAGATCCATGTATCTCACCCCAACTGCTTTAATGAAACGGATAACTGGATATCCTGATATCTCCTTGGAACAACATGCCTGGACAGCTTGTTCCTCACACCCACATCTCTTCGTGTAAGGAATTGTGTCTTAATATTAATAATAATTGCTTACACTTATATAGTACTTTTCTGGACACTCCACTTAAAGTTCTTTAAAGGCAATGGGAACTCCCCTCCACCACCCCCAGTGTGTAGGCCCACCTGGATGATGCACCAGTCCGCTCCCCACACACCAGCTCTCAGTGGGGAGGAGAGCAGTGATGAAGCCAGTTCAGAGATGAGGATCATTAGGAGGCCATGACTGGTCAAGGCCAGGGGGAAATTTGCCAGGACGCCGAGGTTACACCCCTACTCTTCTCGCCCTGGGAAGTCAGGACCTTCTCAATTAAAATTGGTCTCTTTATTTTGTAGCTGTGCGTTTTGAAATAAAGTGCTCTCCATAAGCATAGGGACAGTGAAGTCAAAAGTGCTATTTTGCGTGCTCAAGGAATTATGATTCGAGATGAGAAGTTGACGTGTGATGTGGTTCGTGTTTCTCTGTTTATTCTGAAGATGACTGCTGGACTGACTTGGTCGATGGATTTTGATATTGATGACTGGTATCAGGTCCCCTTTATTTCCTCAAGACTCAGTTCAGCCGGTCAGCGCTGATGACTGCAGCTGTTCCCTGGTGGACCGCGTTAGTAGCCCTCAGGAGTTCCTCCCCTTGAATCCGTTCTCCTGTCGTGCTCGGTGTCCGGGACGGAGGAGACGTGGGAATGCGAGTTCTCTGAGCCCAGGGCTCCTGTTTGTGGTACCAGGTGTCTCAGTCTGGGCCGGAGGTGACTGATTGATCATGTGTAATCTGAACCGCCAGTAGGGACTGAGTAGAGCCCGTCTCATACCCTGGCGCTGTCCCGCCGTGCGGGCCGTCTTTCCCAGCTCGCGAGCAGCCACTTCCTGCCGAGCAGCCGGCCCTCGTGTTTATGCAGCTCCAGGGAGGGTGTGGGGGGCGGGGGTGTCCCCAGGGAGGGCCCAGATGCCCGCGGTTAGAGCAGGAAGTACGCTTTTCCTGCTTGTGACGGCAGCGCTCAGCTCTGCAAGGTCCTGGGCGTGCGCCCTCTCGATGCACAAATACTGCGCCCTCTGTGGAAGTGGGGAATAAATTTACCTTCTCGTTTCTGGCTTGACCTGTGACTGTTAGCATCAGGTCTTAGCCATCAGGAGTGAAGAGACTGTGTTGGCTGTCCGGTGTGTTTGCACGTGGTGGGAAGTGAAGAGGGGAGACCTCACAGGGAGATCGGGGTGCCCTAGTGCATGAGGGCGTGCTGGGTGGGGGTAAGGGTTGTTGCCTGGAGGCCTCCCTGTGGATGGAGAGCAGGGGGCTCTGGGAGTCTGCGAGAGTACCGAGAGGCAGGACAGACTTGTGAAAGAGTCGTTTCCTGCCCCACGCCCTGGTCCCCTGTGCAGAGACAGATCCTAATCTGAGTGGGCCTCCCTGGCTACAGAGAGGTCGCATTCCAGAGCCTGCAGGTCGGAAACCGGGAAACGCCTCCGACTGCGCCAAGAGAGCTGCCCTTCCAGGCCGGGTCCTGTGGCCGGGCCACTCTGCTCCGAATCGACCGCGTCTTAGCGGTTCTGGAGCAGGTCCTCTGTGCGAAGGCGGGCCGGTCGCTGTCCGGGCCAGCCCCCCCAGGGCAGCGTGGGGGGAGTTAAAACAGCTTCTCATGCCAGCAGCTCAGTCTGTGTTTGAGCTGGCATGGAGATAAAAGCGCCGGACACATTTGGGGGCGCGTCTCCGCCCTGGGGGCTGGCACGATATCTGTGGCACCGAAGAAAGCGCCAGGAAGCTCCTCTAGCAGTAATGGCAGAAAGAGCTGTCCTTGAAGTAATAATCATGGCCCGTTGGGCTGCAGTGGTGTTTGATCCAAGGATCATGTCCAGCCCTTTCTTAATAGAAACCATTTTAATCTTTAATGACATGGCTGGGAAACTTGTTTCACAACCTTTTGCATAAGGTGGTGCCTCCTGTTCTCAGTTTGAAATGGGGTTTTAAACCATCTATGTCCTGAGTTTCAGAGGTATTGGGGCAGTCAAAATTCCCGACACCTGACGGGGTTGCAAGTGCTGCTTGCTGGGGTGTTTGTCATTAAGAGGCTGCAGGGAGGCTCCGCCGACAGGAACTGAGCTGGTCAGCCTGACCTGCCGTCTCGTGTTTTCCAGCTACGCCATCACAGTGTGGTACTTCGATGCGAAGGAGCGGGCAGAAGCCAAAGAGAAGTACAGGCTGGGTGAGTAGAGACACGTGGGCGGGGCGATCTGAACGGGGTCCCGCGGGCGCCCGTGCTGCCTGCTGACGTTTGCCTTCTTCTCTGCTCAGCTGCCGGCCAGAAAGGGGTTCAAGTGCCTGTGACTCAAAGCGGCAAGACCTAGCCCCGCGCGTGGCCCGAGACAGCCAGCCGGAGACCCCCGAGGGAGGGGTTCGTCTCCGTGGACACCAGCGAGCGATCCCGTGCCGCAGCCGTGGGCCAGAGCCGCCTGCGCGGAGGGGCGGGGCACGGGGGACGGCCGCTCGCTGCATCTTTTCTCCCGTCTCCGTTCCGCGGTCTGGTCAGGGAGCGCCGGACGCTGCCGGAGCGACACTCTGGGGCCGTGTGCGGAGAGGCGCGGCGAGACGGGCGTTGACCCTGAATATTTTTCACACTCTGAGCTGAGGAGAGGAATAGGCTTCCGATAATCCGTGTGAGCTGTGGTCTGCGTACCCGACCGGCCGGTGGGCAGGACTCGAACCCGGAGCCGCCCAGACCCGAAGGGGTGCGATGAGCGTTCCACGCTTCCACAGAGCGAGACTCGTGCCGGCTGGTTTGGCCTGGTGCTGTCCGAGGGTCCCTCGCGCCCGTGACCCCGTGGGTGTATGGGCGGTCCAGACCAGCGCCCAGCATGTGGGCGTTGGCATGTTGGTTATTTTTGAAACCAGTGTATATTTTTGCAGCCTGATTTTTTTTTTTTCCTTGCAGAGCAGTAAACGTCATCAGCAGTCAGGCGCACCGGTGTCCCGCGCTCTCCCCGATCCCCTCGTCGTGCGCTTAGGGACAGGGTTCGAGCGCTGGGGTGGCCTCTGACCAGGGGTGCCAGACAGCCTGCCTCCAACCCGCGGTCCGGGGAGGGGCGCGAGTTAAAGCAGAGCGCGGTGCGGTCCGGTCAGACCCTCCGAGTGAGGCCAGACCCCCGTCTGTTCGCACTCCGATTCTTCCGGCTCGTTCGGCGGGCGAGGTCTCCCTGGCTGGGCACGCCTGGGAGCCAGGCGGGTGCCAATGGGTGAGGCGCGGGGAACAGGCGGCTCACGTTGAACTGCTAATGGAGAGCAGCGCATCTCCAAGTCAGGCGTCTCTGAAGGAGCTGCTAATCATGGTTCATTGTCGCTGCCGGTTAGGTCAATGAAGATGAAATGTCCTCTTGTTGGGGAGCAGAGGGCCCGGTGTGTTGTCCACAGGAGCTGGACAGCAGTTCTGCAAGGTGACACAGGTCTGTTGTCGTAGCGGGGGGCCGGCCAGACAGAGGCCCCCCACCAGAGGAGAAGAGACTGAGCTCATTTTGGGCAGTAGGAACCCCAGGCTGCTGCAGGTGATTATGGGGGTTTGTTCTCTGCTGGGAGGCTGTCCTGGTCACTTACACCGCCCCCTAAATGGCCTAGACTGGAACCACTGAGCTCCGACTGACCCTCGATCAGCACCAACGTGCTCCGAGTGTAGATCAGGACCAGCTCTGTATGATTGACCGCGTATCGGAACCAGCCAGCTCCACCACTATCCGAAGCGGTGAGCTCTGGATGAGGGTGGCGCTGACTGGCCCTGACCGCTTACAGGCCCGGAGGACGTTGGTCCTTTCCTTGTGTGCCTTAACACAGAGTCACCGAGGCCAGGAACAGGCGGCGCGGCCCTGCTCTGGGGACACTCTCCAGGCCAGGCTAGCAGCGGTGTCTCTGTTGTGAGGAGGTGACGATGGAGTGTGCAGGTTCAGTCTGCGTTCAGGGGCTGCCTAGTGACCTCGAGCTGGAGAACCAGCACACCCACTGCCCACACCACTGTGCCAGGGCAGCCCCCAGTGCAGGGGTGAAGAGAAATTGCACTTTACTGTAGGAAGAAATACCAGAGAGAAAATGTTTGCTTGAAAGCTGTGGATGTTATTCAAATGCAATAGAAGTTAAAAAAGAAATGTTTGCCTAATGTTTTGCATTTTTGCAGTATTTAATTATTAAAGACAAAATGATTTTTTACAAAAGTTTCCGAGAGATTGTGTGGTTTGTGTTTCTGTTGTTTCTGTATGTATAGCGCCCCCTGGAGG